TTTCAACGGTGGTTGTTACAACTGGTAATACTAAAACCAACTCAATTAGCCGATATACCAAATGAAAAGAATTGTTAACTTTAAGCTCAACCATCTTTTTGCAAACTTCACCAATAGTCTGTACGGCAGAAAACAATTCACTTGTTCTCATTTCATATATCCACACACCTGGAGTTGCTCTTTCAGCTCCATTCGATTAACAGATGAAAAATCGCATGAATATAATTCCGCGAGGTTCAATAGCTTTGACTCACAGAAATTGGAGAACTTATCTCTAGGATCAAGACATGCTAAACAAGTGAGTAATTCTATGTTTTACATGGCCTCTAAATATTTCAAGACTTTTTTTCCAATTACGAAACCCGGTCCTTACAAATACATCATCTCCAAATCTCTTCCTTTCTACACCCATGGAAAAGGCAACACGAAAAGCAAAATGTAGCATCTTAAGAAATACTATATTCCAACTAGGGGTCCGACATAAGTTCTCATCACGTCATCTCTTACTCGAGGCTCATATTCAATGATTTGTTTTCGTAATGCGGGATCGCTAATGATATCCCACTCACACGTACTATCTGTGCGGGCTCCTTTGTCTCCCCTGGTGTCATTAGACTCATCTCGGACAATGCCTACATTCGGAGCAACAACATTTGCATCGCTTGAGATAGAGTGATTACAATGTTCGAAGAACTACCCCCTCGGGCTAATGACCTCTAAGTCCGAATTACAAAGTTATCTAAACTCATGTTTATAATAAAAAAAGACAAACACAATCAAGTCTAAAAATTAAACTAAAAACCTTACAAATTAGAACCCTAATCCTTAAGTAGAGTGCATTCACAATCTCCAAGGTATCACATTTCAAGTAAACAAACAATCCCCAAATCAGCAAATACAATTTAGTATATAACCGTAACATTTTAGTATCTTGATTATCTAATACTAGTAACTTTTTGTACGGGTTGGAGCACTAATTTTACCCGAAGTAGTAGTAGTGAAATTTTTAGCCGGAAGCAGGGGCACCTATTTTATTCTAAGTACTAGTAGTGAAATTCCTGGCCGGAAGCCGGGGCACTTGCCCCGGTAGGCCCCGGCCTAGGTCCTCCACTGATTGGAGATGCTCTAAGAAGCAAACAAAAGTAGCTCAACTCAAAGCTGAAACAGAGCATGTGGCAGCCTGAACAATAATTGGATAAGTTATATGGCTAAGGAATATGCTCCAAGTCTTCAAGATATAGGTCATAAACAAAACAATGCAACAAAAGTTCAAAGTTCTAGTCGATATTAATGATCAATTGCTATCACTAAGATTCTAGTTTGCCTCAACGAAAAAAAAGAATATCAAACCGATCAAATTTCACGCCATTAGTGATGGAAGCTGAGCAAGAAAAGGAAATTCAGCTTAGCTTAGCTTGTAGCCTTCTATATTGTGATACGGAGTCCGTATAATTTATCAATTTGCCTACATATTTATCCAACCTCACACGATTAAAAAGGGTCGAGTTTGATCTAGTATTATCTAGATCAAACTCGGTTGGAACATGTCTGATCTTTGTGTTTTTACAAATCTAATTATTTAAGTATGATCTAGTTTAATCTAATCTATTTAAGTCTAATCTTATATATTTTGATTTGTATGGGATTGAAAACAATCGAAGTAAATGGCATTGCATGAATGGCAAATAAACTCGGAATTCATAAATGGCATAGCATTGCATAAATGGCTATTTAAGTCTAATCTTAGCTTAGAGTCATGGCAAAAAAAAAATTACAAGGAAGCTCGAAATTAGACATTTGACCTTACTAAGCAACAATAAATTTATACATGAATCCAGCACTTTAAGCTATTTGCATGCATCTTTACTAGTAGAAGTTTAATGAAAATATGCATGTCGATCAATTAAAAAAATACTTAGTACTATTTTACTACTATAGTACTATGTATGGGGAAATCGAAGTATATTTTTTAACATTTCAGATTTCAGAAAATTAAATACGGAGTACTACATACTACGTAGAATGTAAAAGATTCCAACAAGTAAACAATATACGGACGTATTACCTCCCTATCATTAGAAAGTTTCCGTACACTATTCACATGATCAACTTAAATCATTTTTAATCTTTTACTTTATAAATCAAAATTTTATCAAACTTACTTTTTTTATCAGGCTTTGTAACGGTTTTAATGTAGTTTCTGAATATGTAAATTTTATTTATTAAAAATAATCAGAGCGTGAACATGAATTAAGTTGCTTTATTGTCGTCAAATATCGTAAACCGTCAACGGGGTATAATATATCCTTAGCCAATTACGTACTTCTGTCTATATATAAACATTATAAAAAAAGTAAAAAATTTGACATAAATTTTTATGCATAAAATTGTCAAAATTCATAAAAGAAATTGACACAGATACGTAAAATTCGTCACAACAACATTATGCAATGTGTATACAAGAAATCATCAATCAAATCATTTTAATTTCGTGACTAATCTGTTATGTTTTGTAGTGAAATATACAGAGCCGGTGATAGGGTCAGTTAGGCAAGACATTTGCCTAGGGCCTCAAATTTTATGGGGCCTCCAAAAAATATTTATTATTAATAATTGGTAAATGAAAATGGCTTCTACGTTATACACCGTATTGATCCGTACGTATATATAGGACTAGGTAATGAGTAATAGACCCAATCATATACTGCAGCTACTCCGTATTTCTTTCATTAAAAAAAAGCCATTCCGTATTCCTTAGTTTACTTGCATTGATACCTTTTTGTGCTTAATTTTGTAATTGTAAAATTTTAATTTATATGCACTTCTTTTTGTTAATAAGAAATGTTGTTTTGTATAACTAATTATTAATATATGTTTGGATTCTTTTTATGTGTTTAGTTAAGATCTTATTTTTGCATTTTACTCAATCGCATTTTCTCATATTTGTTTGATCAGTTAATTTTGTCACTAATTATGTATAACTGTATCTGCTAATTTTAGCTTTTTTTTAATGTTTTCATGCATATTTGTTTTTGAATTTTTACTTCGTAATATATATGAATATGTAACTATTAAGGTCATTTGGTTACCTTATTTTTAAGATTATCAGTATTATCAATTAAGTTTTTCATCAAACACGTAACTTTTGATTTCACGTGCAGAGATGCGTATTGATCAAAATAAGATAGGTTGGATTTACTTTTCTGGCTGAATTGACAGAAGTTATTGTAGAGAACCATTTGAGCTATTTTTCATAATCCGTTTAATTCTTTCTTTATTTTATTAATAAAATATACTCCATATTTTTTTTCATAAATCAATATAAAAACCAATTCCGTCACTTTAGTCATAACTTCATATGATGAGTAATTAAATATCTATAATCAAACGGCGCATTGTTATATGATGACTAATTTAAAAAATTACTTAATAATATTTGCAAGTGTCAAGTCTTTTTTGCCTAGGGCCTCTAAAATGCTAAAGCCGGCCCTGGAAATATAAATAGATTACAAATAATCGGTCGGCGGCCAGAAAAAGAAAACTTTACTCACATGCTTTGATGTCCTAATAGGGCTGAGGATTGAGAGATCGATCCCCTACCTGCGCTGTATGGGCAATCTAATCCTTCTTCATGCGGTACTACGTACACGTGTTGCCATGCTCCCATGCCATCTCAATGACCCCTGAACTTGTATCTAAATCATGGATGAAACTTTCCCAAAAACAAGGACAGATATATTATTTTTATAAAACATGATATCTTAAAGCAGTGCAACATGTGACATGAGAAGAATTCGGAAAATAAAAACATTAAGGGGTGTTTGGAACTGATTCTGCTTCTGCTTCTTTTTTAAAAGCAGAAGTAGAATCAGAATCAGTTTTCAGAAGCTGGTACCCCCCAGCTTCTAAAAAAACTGATTCTGAGAGTAAATTAGAGCTTCAGAAGTGCTTCTGGAATTTCACCCAAACACTCCAGCTTCTGTTTCTGCTCCTTGAAGGAGCAGAATCAGTTCTGAGAATCAGATCCAAACACCCCTAAAATGGATAAATGACACTTCTCTCTATTTCTTTCTTTGATTTTATATATTAACTCTTCATCAATAATGTCTACATGAGACACTTTTCGTGTATAGTTGGAGTTTGTATAACTAGCTATATCACAACTTAAACTGGATTCAAAAAAATAGACAATCTAAAAGATATAAAACCTCTCTAAATAGGAATACATAAGTCTTTTTGAATGAAAAATAAGGATACTCCGATCCTATCAAAACATAGGACTATTACCTTTTTACTCCTATTTAATTAAGGAATTTTATGAAAGAACTAAACTAGCTAGCTAGGTTTATTTATAATGCCCAATTATTATAATGATCAATTTAAGGAAAAATTCTCGAAATTAGAGTAAAAATGTTAGAGAATTTCAAAATATGACTGTCATATTTCCCCATGAATATAAGTAATTATTGTGGGACTTGGAAATACTACCATATGTTTAAAGTTTAAGGATGTTTTCTTTTGGACTGAAATCTGCTGGTCTGGTCTGATCTGATCTGGTAAGCATCTGGTCTCTGTGTATTTTATAACTACGGAAATTAAGTCTGGTCTGATTTGATCTGGACTGGGACTGAAAACAGTCCAAAAGAAAACATCCTAACACTACCAAAATATGAGAGTAATTACTCGTATCTAGGAATAAAAACTGATAATCCTATTAGTTTAATCCTATATAGAATAGTTAGGCCGCCCTTCAAAGGGTCATGCATTGATGCATATGTACGTACGTTTTGAGAGAAGGTAACAATTGAAGAATATATGTCCGTAGATGATGACAGTCTAGCCATGTGATACCTGCGGTTGTACCAGCATGGAAACCCAAACCCTTTTGTGCACATTCATCATCTTCTTGCCTTTTTATTTTTTATAATTAAATTCAATATTATTGCGGTGTTTCTATCCTATTTTATTTATTTATTTATTTCAAAATAATAATTCCAATAATTCATTACCCGTAGAAGATCCTGAATTTAAAGGCCGTCCAGATTGCTTCAGTTCTCTCTGAAATTGTTTCACATCTTCGGTAACATTAGTGTGAGTGTGGGGGGTCGGTAGCTAAATTTAATCGCAGCCTCTGCTTCGGTTTTATTCTGGTACGTAAATACGGTATTCTTCGGTTTTATGCATTAATGGTTCCATGTCATTTTAAATTTACTTCAATTTTAAATTTAAACTAATGGTTTAATTCATTAATTAATTTAAGATGCATATACTTCGTATTAGGTATTGTACGGTAACCATATACTTGTATAAAATTTACCTAGCCTTTATGTGATCATCCCTCTCAATTAATCTTGTTAATTAGTTCTATTTAAAAGATATATAATTGTGTCATCCATATTCTTGTTTTTTTTACTACATAAAAAGTTAATTTCATATTTTTATTTTTATTGTTTGTGTGTCCCATCTTGTGTAAATAATACGTTTGTTAAGTACTACATCCGTTCTATTTTAAATGCAACATTGAAATTTTTGCACTATTCATATGTTTTATTTTGATTCTATTTTATTTATTAATATATTATAAATTAATTTAAAATAAATATTATTAAATTCTTCTCATTTTAAATTTTCAATATCTAATTTTTAAAATTTTTTTACTAATAAGAATATATAGACAGTTGCAATTAAAAAAATAACATAAATGACATATCTCATCAGCTTGATGATAATCTTGGTTTGTATCAAAGTAACTTTTTTTATTTTGTACACTACATTTGATAATAATCAAAATTAATTCGACTCTCCGGTTTTTACTGAATTGTGAATAATCTTAGTCTTTTGTCATATATATAAACGATTTTTAACTTTTCTAGTAATTAAAATGGATTTGATATACATTTACTTCAGAATTAATCACATTCTCAGTTCGTTTATCCATTTGAGACACATGCATATATGTACAGACACTTCATCATATTATGCAAATCCAGCAATTGTAGTTAAGTTGACAAATGGGCTCTACATATCATTTAAGCATTTTTTTCAATTAAAACCTATATTCCATTAATTAGTCTAAATCGAATTAATTAAAACTGTATATGATGCCACGTGATAAGCATTTACAAATGCCTCCAATCATTTCATTGCTGAATGCTGATCGATTCAGGATTGATATTACTCCGTATTAGGGGTGGGCATGGGTCGGGACGGTTCGGGATTAGGGTTATCCCGGTCCCGTCCCAATTAATAATAACGGGACGGTACGGTACGGGATAAGCCTTTGTCCCAGTCTTGTCCCATTTAAATCGGGACCGAGATGATTCGGAACGGTTCGGGACGGTTCGAGACGTCCCAAACTAACAAAAAATAATCATTTGTAATTAATATATATTAGCATTCCTAAAGTATCATGCACTAAAATATTAACATTTTAAAAGTTAATTAATGTTCATCACAAGCTAAAAGCTACTACGTATTAGATTTTAGTTAGGTTTAGCAAAATTTTAAATTTAAATTTAAAACAAAGCAAAAATGAATTATTTTATTCAAAATCATTTGTTCTAGTTGTGAGAGACTCATATATAGATATATAAAGTGAAATAAAAACTTATGTTAGTAAATATTTATTTTAAGGTATTATTTTTAATTTAAAAATTGGGCATGAAAACTAAAAACATGTTATCATTTATTTTTTGAGTTGACATTACAAACTAGTTACATACTACAAAATCTATATAGTTATTACAAACGGGACAACGGGACGGTTCGGGCTAACCTTCCAATGTCCCGGTCCCGTCCCGTTTGAAACCGGTACGGGACCGGTGCGGGACAAAATCAATGAGACCCAAACGGAACGGGACAACACCGGTACGGTTTCGGGATATACCGGAATGGGACAACGGGACCGGGATTCTTGCCCGCCCCTACTCCGTATATATTCTTCCCGTCAATTTTATTACATTTTCAAATTATTCTTTAAAGGATGTTTCCTCCTAAATATAAAAGCTTAGCTTTTGTTAAGATTCGGGGTTCCATCCTAAAAGGTCAATATATATAGCACTCTAATGCTTCTCAATTTTCTAGTGTGGGACGTTTAACACCCATCCTCACGACCAGACACTTCATCTGGATCGTGTTGCCGTTCACTATTTCATCGGTTCGTCAATTTTTTTTCGTGTCATCATTTTTCATAAGGAGTCCCACACCATGGATCGATTTGACTTTGATACCATGTTAAGAACCAGGGTTCCATCTTAAAAGGTCAACCTGTTAGGAGGAGTAGCCAAAAGCTTAATATAGCACTCTAATGCTTCTCAATTTTCCAGTGTGGGACATTTAACAGCTTTTCTGTCAAAAAACATTAGCTTTACTGCTTTAGTTTTCTTTTAATAATGAAAATAAATACCCCTAGAAGGCTAGAATGTACGTAATTTACTTTAACCATTACATAAGAAAAAAGATGAACCCCTCCTAGATCATAGAGGACATTGTCCGCCGGCCGCCACACCGGATATATGTTAATTGGAATTGTAGAGGTCAAATTACAATCACATTAGAAAATGTGAGATCTACCATTTAGAAATTAAAACATATGGAAACCTTTAACAAAGATGTCACAATTTGAACTCGAAAAAGTATCCTATCTAGTAGAGTGAAAGGACTGGACTGAGAAAAACAAATCGTGGATGTGTTCATCAAATGAAAAGCTATCTAGTCTCGTTTAACTAGCTATATATAATTAGGGTAATAATATAAAAATAAAATTGAAGGGTCTCATCGAGTTCAGCTTATTTAATTATATTTGCCGCAATTTCACTGTCTTATTGATTAAAAACGGTCATAAATAGAGGTAATTAAGAAATCTTACATAGCCTCAATAGTCCTAGCTAGTCTATCCGTAAGGACCACGACTTGACTTTCTTGGTTTTGAAGTGTTCCAATTTTTCATGTAGCCTTGGGATGTATTTACTCAATTTTCTGATCAGTTCTCATAATGTCTGACCTTTGTGTATTTTATAATTCTTCAAATGTGATCTGATTTGATTTGATTTGGTTTGACATTGAAAACAGTGTAAGTAAAAACATCCTTATTTTACTCAAATCCTGTGTAATGATACTAAACTAGAATAAGGGCAGTTAGGTAATTAAGGGTACGTAGTACTTGTATATAGTTAAACCGCACCCTAACTTATTCTAGGTCTTTAGGAAGAATAAAGGCATAAAGCTCCATTAATTGGACTTTATTTTCTGATATAATCTGATTTGAATTAGTTTGATGAGCTAGATAAAGTCCACCAATATAAAAGTTGATCGAGTAGTATAGAACCACACCTGAACCTTTTTACAAAATCTATCCATGGTGTTCTTTTATACGGAGTATATGATTATATGTACGGAGTAGTATTATGACTAATGTATGTTGGTTGTTAGTAATTGTCGTTAAGAGGACATAAAAGCCGTAATGCATGATAATGTATCTTACATGGGAAACTACCAGACATGTTAGGTAGGAATTAGGGAGGAGGGTTTTACACACGCTTCACAAAAACTAAGGGAAAATGTGCAAATAGGTCCATGTACTAATAAAAAAAGGTCAAATAAGCCCTTATTTAGAAGGTTTTGTCCGGCCGTCGTCATTTGGAGTGGTTCCTGGTGGAATTTTTTGATGAAAATATTTGAGAATCTTATTCATGAAGTCTAGTTTACTCATACCAAATTTCAGCTAAAACTTCAATCATGAAGGCATTCAAATGAATTCTTGAAAATAACTGCGCAGTTAGAAGCGCAGTTATCTTCAAGAATTCATTTGAATGTCTTCCCGATTAAAGTTTTAGCTGAAATTTGGTATGAGTAAACTAGATTGATGAATAAGATGCTCAAAAAAGTTCATGAAAAAATTCCACCGGAAACCACCCCAAATGACGACGGCCGGACAGAACCTCCTAAATAAGGGCTTATTTGACCTTTTTTGGTTAGTACATGGGTCTATTTGCACATTTTCCCCAAAAACTAATATAATAACTAGCCCCTTATATATATTTGACATAATAGCCCATTGTATATGTCTGCGTTATTTTGTGAAATCTAAACCACAAATGATGTAAAGTGACACAAAGAGCCTTGATTATGTGAGGCCATTATTTTATACTCCCTCCGTCCCCTTTTAAATGGGACGGGAGATGGTGGCACGGGTTTTAAGAAAAGTGAGTTTGTGTGTTTGATATTAATTGATAAAGTAAGAATAAAGTAAGAATGATTTTGAGCCACACATAATTTACCAAATAAGGTATGGGGCAATTAAATAGGGACATTCCAATATGGTAAAACGGGACATTTAAAAGGGGACGGAGGGAGTATAACTTATAAGTGTGCACCCCATATGGTGGGCACAAATGGTTCTCGATCGTAAGTATTTAATATGAATTAAACGTAACTTTGCCCTTGGTTACTCGACTCACATAGTCACATTATAGATTCATGTCCCCATGACCCCATCCGGTCCACATCATAGCCATCCTTTAATTTGCATTGACTTCTCGTCACCACTCGAGACCAACCAGTAACAAAATTAAAATGTTAGCATTCAATAACAAGTTAGTTTCTTACTCCTTCAGTCTCGTTGACTAAATTTCCTTTTTTTAATATCCCAAAAAGATTTGTCATTTCCTAAGGAATATGTGGCTAAAATTAATTCTCTCTCCTCTGAACAAATTTCAAATACACAATTTTTAATTTATTAATTCACGTAGAAGTCAACTTTGATCAACCTTTTCGGGAGGGAGTACAAACGAGTAGCATCAGAGAAATTTCAGGGTCTTTTAGTTTACCTAAACATTGTTCTAAGACGAAGAACCATTTTCAGTAACAAAAGCTGGGGCGAGTATATCACAATTCAGACACCTCTAGTAACAGCCAATTGAAAGAGATGCATGTACACTAGAACTGGACGGACACATCATAGGGCCTCAAAGTTATCAATACTCTGACACGTTATTTGTAAAATCTTTACGAGTATATAATACGAAAAAGACATGCATTTTTTACAAATACGTACTCACACGATATAATTAAAGGAAATTTTGAGTTTAGACCCCACCTTTTGGTTGATATTGAATTTTGTAATCCATTTTTAAGACTTTGCACTTTATCTACAACATTTTGTGAAGATAAAATCTTGAATGAGGTGAAAAGTCAAAGACATTTTAGCGGAAATAGGGTGCACAGTCTAAGATTTTTAAAAATGATTTGCAGAGTCCAATATCATCCAAAAAAATATGGGGCAAAATCAAAATATCCGTATTAATTTGGTAATTTTAATTAGCGTATACGGAGTTTAACTTCAAATCATGATTCATAGTTCAACTCAAGAAATAAAAGAAATACTCCGATCGATCCGTATAGTACAATTTTTCGTGAGATGGGGAAGTATAAATGACTATGTGGGAGGATGTCAATTTACACTCAACTTGTACAAATCTGTAGAAAATTACAATAACACGACATAGTTTCCAATCACATTTATCGATGGTTATCCAAATTGCCTACATTATTTGCTTACGACACATTGCCAAAAGGAATTGTACCGATGTCACCTTGCATCATTATTGGCCCAAAGTTTTCATGGAACAAATTTGTAAATAGTCACTCTTAGACACTTACACACAAAGTGAAACCCCCAAATCCCAATATCCGAAAATTAATGAATACCTATAAACTAATGTAATTTGTTTTACTCAATTGAGAAAACGTGCAAAGTTCCATTTTCTCTTTCGATGTAATAAATTTGAAGTAAATGTTATTTCGATGTAATAATTTTAAACCATTATTATAAATATTAATTTTGCGTCATACCAGTATGAGACTATGATGTTTGAGCTTCAATATAAGGTTTAACTAGTGTATCTAAAAAATGTAAATTTAAAAAAAAAAAAATCTCACCGTCCCATTAGATTTTACCAACACTTTGCTTTTTTATTTGTCTCGAAAATTCTGACACTATCATTTCAAAGTAATGAATATGTGGTGCAGTTTTATACCTCTTCTCTATCCAAAGTTCACCCCACAATTTTTAATTTTCTTATTTTACACTTAATTGGAAGTGGGCAATGTCCAATGAAACGGAAGCAATATAATATTAATTTATAAATATAACTATTGCTAGTATAAGAAGAAAAATTTTATTGGTATGTACACAAATTGTGTACACATTTAACGCACTCCCACATGTACACATGCATCTCGTTTAGGAAAAAAATAAAATTTTCTTGTACACCTATGAATAAAAGTGTACACAAAGTCCGCGTTTGGATATCTGTTGTTCAGCCAAAGTGCTGATTTTTATACACATGAAACGCCCCAATTTGTGCGTCTGAGAGAAAAAACAACCAGAATGTGTACATCTCTTAATTGTATGTATACACACACAATCCGTTTGGAAAAACATAACAATTGTAATGTACACCTTATCTAAAAATTTACAATATTCAAAAACAGTGGTGGAACACTGGCCATTATTATTGGAGAGAATTTCACTTTATTCAATCTTTATAAAACTGCATTTATTATTGCGTGATCTGAATGGACATATGATAACAGTTGAGGGTACCTGGAGACATGGACTCACATGGCGGCAATGGACCAGCAAAGAAAGGACCCAACTTTCCCAGAGATTCGCGCGGTTCGCTCGAAGTCTTCAACCCATCAACCTACTCTTCTCGGACCACTAACCCAGTTTTCCAATCGTCGTGGAACACCTGGGATGAACCGCCGCCGGCGACCGTCGCCAGTACTATTGCACCGCCACCACTACCCAATCCGCCGCTAGGTGAACTTTTCGCCAGATCTTCTGACAGTAGAGCTAATAATGCCGAGGAAATCGTCCCGTGGATGGCCATCAAGGAGCCTGCTCCGCCGCTTGCCGCCGCCATCAAGTCTCCGGTGAAGAAGGCAAATGAGGTCGGCGCCGCCGCTGAAAGGGCCGCAGAGTGGGGGCTTGTTCTCAAAACTGACGACGAGACTGGTAAGCCTCAAGGGGTTAAAGTCAGAACTTCCGGCGAAGAGGCGAACAAAAGGGTCTCCGGCAACTCTGTCCGAAGCTCCGGCGATTCGTACGATGAAGGAACCGGTAAACTCATCGTCTACTAGTTTTTTTACTCCAAATTTATTACTTTGATTCAAGTGTCCTTACGTAATTTTGTTTACTTGATCAATAATACGGAGTGATTTTTTCCCTCACTAATTGTAAATTTGAATAATGAACAAACTTATCTAGAGACATTGAAGCCCCAATAAATTCATACCACTAATGTTAAGTCAATTCAAATAAGAGAGTTACTTTTTCATTTTGAAATAAGAGTCATCTTGAAATTCACAATAGTTTGAGTATTAGGCATTAATATAACATTATTTTTCAATCGTGACAATAACTACTTCTATTTTTCAAAGAAAAATATAGAAATTCTATTTTGTAATACAATAACATTTTTATACCTGTTTAGAGTAATTTTTCTAATATATTTACTCTATCTACAACTCACTCCCACCATGATTGATGTAAAAAAATGCTACTTGCACAGGCTTGGTTATTTGCCCGATTACAAACAATTGATTTTAGTTTTTGTAAAGGAAAGTGTTTGTGACCATGAATTGTATGTGCATACAAATCATTTTTTGGGTCACAATGATTTTTTGGGTCATAGACACTTTTCTTTATAAAAATTAAAATCAATTGTCTGTACACAGACCAATTACACTTGTGCGTGTAGTCGGGCGTGTTACGTGGCGTGTACAAGTAGCATTTTTATTGTTGTTTCCGCCCTGGCTCATGCTTTTAAACTTTGTTTACGTTTTACGAGTGATACATTGATCAATTTCATTTTTCTTATTGTATGAAGTAATTGTTTCTCTGTTTTCCAAGTCAATGATTTTACATTTTCACCCAAAATATGAAATTCATCCATTTCAATTTTAAAGGGCTAACAAAGATGGAATGTGTAGGGAAAGAGAAAGGAATTCCGAGAATCTCGGAGGATCTAAGGGATGCTTTATCGGCATTTCAACAAACGTTTGTGGTGTCGGATGCAACCAAACCCGATTACCCGATAATGTATGCTAGTGCTGGGTTTGTCAAGATGACCGGTTACACCTCCAATGAAATCATTGGCAGGAATTGGTACTTCTTTCTATCAGTAGTTTCTAATGGTCATATCAGTAATTTAACTATAGAAATAGTATTAGCTTTGCCTTGTTTTTAAATGTTTCTTTTTAAATGTTGCTGGTTTGGTGGGTCGGGGCAGTCGGTTCATGCAAGGATCGGATACGGATCCCAAGGACGTGGCCAAGATTCGGGAAGCTTTACAATCCGGGTCAAGTTATTGTGGGAGATTGTTGAATTACAAGAAAGACGGCACACCTTTTTGGAATCTCCTCACCATTGCTCCTATTAAGGATGAAACTGGCAAAGTACTCAAATTTATTGGGCAAGTATCAATTTCCTTCTCAATTAATCTTTATATGTTGAGTTGTTATTTCCATTTGAAGGCGAGGTTTAACTAAGCACACGGTAACAATAGTGCTTTTTAACAAATATGTAAAAAATGGTATGAAATTTGAAAACAAATTTATTAGGGAGTTGTTATCCTCTAATAATCTAAACTATTGTCATATGACATTAATATTGTTATATTAATAGTTATATATATGGTAATAGGATATCTAGATGAAAGTAATTTAAGATTATTTCTAGAACAACAGTTATATTTTCATAATAGTTATATTTTGGAATGTTATATACTAGTATATTATTTGAGCCCTATTCATGATGTTTCCCTTTTTCTAAATGCACGTGGAAAGTGAGCTTATATTTTTTCATCAACAAGTAAGTTTACTCTAGAGATTGAATATTGAATGGGTGGATAATAGAAGAATGCTCCATATATTTTGTTGAAGATGATCACGAGATTTATCCACATTTGTCTGTGTACACAGGCAACTAGGAGTGTATATAAAACGTATACAAATTTCGTGTACAACTAAATTTAGTCATTTAACAATTGTAGCTATAATATTCGGGTATTAGACATATCCAATCACATGTTAGTAGTGTAAACTTTGGATGTTTTCTTTTGGACGGTTTTCCGTCCCAGAACAGACTATACCAACCAAACCAACGGGACCATCAATTATTTAACGGGTAGGAATTCATTAATGTGGTGGGACGATTGCGTCAAAATCAAATGGCCTTCCTAGTCCCTATTTTTCTATACGTTTCTACGTTTATAGTTGCTATACGTATTCATTATTATTGGCCATCACGTATATGTGTCTAAGCTTTCATCCCCATATATATGTGTTACAGGTAGGGTTGTAAATGAATTAAATAATTTGTGCTCGATTCGCGATTCAAATTTGTATAAGACGATTTGAATTCAAAAAATTCAAATACAAATACAAATATGAATATTAAATTTGATTCGAGTTGTTATCAAATACAAATAAGAATATCAGTGTATTCGATTCGAATATTAATCAAATATATTCGATTAATAATAGTGATAATATTAATAATAATAATAATAGTAATAACACTATAATAACTTTTAAAAGATAGCAATACCCTAAATTGTAGTTCATGTATACATTTATGCATTCAGATTCTAAGTCCATTTGTAACAAGTCAGAGTATAAATACGAATACAAATCAGATTTTTGGTTCAAATGTCTTTCAAATACAATACAAATAATTATGTATTTGATTTGCAGAATAAAATTAGAGTCGTTTGACTTTGATATATACAAATATCAATTTATTTCACACATTATAAGTATAATTTCTAACATGTGCCTTAGTGTTTATTTCAAAAAGTTTGAAATAGATTTATATTTGTTAATCATAAAATTGAATTGATTCACTTAAGTATATCGTGCACAATCTAAAACTACATTGATCCATTGAATTTAAATTCTAAAAACACATATTAAGTAGGGCTGGGTCCGAAAAACCGAAAACCGAAAACCGAATCAAATTAAACCGAACCGCGACCAAATAAATCGAACCGCTAAAAAACCGAAACCGAATGTAAAAAACCGAACCGAACCGTAATAGTTTGGTTCGGTTTTGGTTTTTACCCTTCAAAACCGAACCGAACCGAACAAACCGAACTAAAATAAAATATGAAATTTTATTTGTTAAATGTAAGCATTAATCTTGATATCATCAATATTCTTTGAATTTCTTGTGCTAGAGAAATAATGTTTGTGCTATGTTTTGTTTAGTTTAGTTCACAAATGCATTTACACATTCATTGCCTATAATAATGTAGCTATATTGATCTATTATGTCTTCTATGGATGTATGTTCGTTGCAATTTATTGCATGATTATATGTTTTTACTAGTTATTAGTAGTAATTAACTTTTATTTTTATGTAACCTAATTTTTTTGTAACTTACATTTTTTAAATTGATAAAACAAATAAATATTCATCTCAACTATATCACATAGGACATATGTATTCATAAATGTTTTTTAAACTAGTCACAAATAATGTAAATTAAGAATATATATACACTTTTATCTCTCCCGCATACTCATATAATTCAAGACATATTTGTTTATTATTATTTTCTTTATTTGTTCAAGTATGCTTGCATTTTTATGTAATATGTTTGATCCCTCTAACTTTTATATCAATTTTAAATCAAATGACAATTTTTTTAGTAAAAAACCGAAAAAATCGAAACCGAACCGAAACAAACCGAACCGATCAAACCGTGGTTCCAAGTTTTGGAGTGTAAAACCGAACCAAAACCGAACCGGACTTTTACTTTGGTTCCGTAATTGGTTTTAGGTCAAAACCGAACCGAAAGAACCGAACCCACCCCTAATATTAAGTCATAGCATACATTTACAACATAAAAAAATATAATAAAATTTATTTTAAAGTGATATTTGACTAATATTTAACCTATGCTCAAATATATTCGATATTCGTATAAGATTCGTTAACTATTCATATTATAAACAAATACAAATACAAATCGAAATTAATATTCGTTTCATATTTGAATTCGAATTCCTATTAAAAAAAATTAAACAAATACAAATACAAAATCCTACTCTTCGACTCGATTCGGTTCGTATTTAATAACAAATAATTTAAGTGACGGAAAAGATTTTAAATGAGAATGGTGGTAACTGTTTGCTAAAAACTGTTTGCTAAAAACTGATTGTTTAATTTAGTTTCGTTTGATATAACAAATTGTTGTCAGTAAATACTATAAGCTATATGCGTTTTCTCATAAGCTATTCAATGTAGTTTCTCATAAAAAATCTTTTATTATTAACCCTTAATAATTGTCGTGTTAAACATAGTTTATAGACCTTTTAAATAATAGAAAACCTGAGAGTGAAAGACTTATGCCCACCTAAACAACTGGTCAACTTACATTATACTCCGTATTTTACATTTTCCAAGATTAATAGATACGTAGAGTCTAATAACTAAAGTAAGATCTTAATGTGAGTCATGACTGAGTGTTAATCGGAATACTAGTGAATTGCTCTAAGACCTAAGTTGATAATTAAATCAAAGTTAATGTAATTTTGGCAGAATGCAAGTGGAGGTTAGCAAGCACACGGAAGGATTAAAGGAAAAAGTGGTCCGTCCAAACGGGCTTCCAGAATCATTGATCCGATACGATGGTAATTACCCGACAATTTATTCCCTGCTAACTTCTATAAATATATAATCATTAATGAAAAAGTAATTTAAAAGGGGTTCAGAGTTCAGACGTTCCAAACGAATTTGAACTAAATTTCATGCTTTTGGAAACAACTCAATTGTATTGTTTGTTTCTACTTCATAACAAGAAAGTAAGTTTTCAAATTTCAAATAACTCCAGTGTTTATCGTGTAAGTTTAAAAATCTTTCAATAAATATGTGACATATATACGGAGTATTATTTAGTTTGATCATGTTGAAACAAACTTTACTACAATAATCTCTATTAGCCTCATAAGTACTCGAACAACATGTTTATAAATGCCTCAAATATTCTTTCCAGAGGTTCTCAAGCAAAGACTCGGTCTTTTGCTTTAGTTTCTCTAGTTCTAATTTAGACATACCTTCAGACAGACTACTTTCCCTACAACTTTTCACTCACCTTTTATAAATAATATACCGAGCATATGAAATGAAGACACAACAATTTCGGAATTGGGATGTTTTTTAGACTGTAATTTGCTGTTGTAGTCTGATTTGGTCTGGTTTGGTCTGAACTGGTCTGGTCTGATCTGGTAAGGTTTGGTTTCTTTGTATTTTTATAACTATCCAAGTCTGGTCTGGTCTTGTCTGAACTGGTCTGGTCTGGACTGGTCTAGTATGGGACAAATTACAATCCAAATAAAAACATCCTTGGTTTGGAAAATGAAATCTAACCAATTAAAACACTAACATACCATATACAATAAGGTAATGTTTCAATTATCTTTTTTTACTCACCAAATAACATACATTATCATTTTATTCCCTCTTTCTTAAACTTTGATTCAAGTCAAACCAGGAAGATTTTATGCGACGAATGGAGCAATTCATTTTCTACTAAAATTACTAATATTATGTTTATGGAAAAAATCCAACTATTGTTGTATAAGCTAAAAAACTAGGCGTGCCACTAAAAAAAAATCGTATTTTGTCTTAAGTTTTACTCTTTTTTCTATTTAAAGGTTCTCACATTCTGTTTATGAACATCACATTTATAGGTTATCATTTCTATTGTAAGAAACAATTAACATTATTAAATGATAAGTTAATCATCAAATATTATAAAGTAATATATTTATATACCCATCAAAATTATTTCTCAAAATATACGAATAATCTTATTTAGTTGTGTTCATGGGAACCTTTAAGAGGTGGTGGAGGTAATATAAATGATGGTGTATGTATGTATTCAGCTCGACAGAAGGAAGCTGCCACAAATACAGTGATCGATCTCGTTGAGGCAGTGAAGAAGCCTTCCCGAGCAAGAGCACTTAGCGAATCCACTCATAATCATCCTTTCCTCCGGAAGTCCAGCGGCGGCAGCGAAAAGGAACGTTCTGATGCCGTTAATAATGACGGAAACCGGAATTCAGAGAGCAAAACTCCGCCGGCTAGACGCCATTCCCATGCCGGCACGAGAACCTCCTTGAAGAAGATGGAGAAGATCAGCGAAGTTACAGACGAGAAGAAACCCAAGAAAGCTAGGCGTCCCTCTTTCATGAGGTAATTAATAGAAATTTAAATGACTTTATTGTTTTTTCTTAAATGACTTTTTATATTTAGTTAAATATTGGGAAAATTTCTCTAAAGAGGAATAGAACATAGTATAATTTCTCAAATAAATTTTTGATTGTTTTTTTATTTAAATAAGACTTACTGACTCCTAATATTACAAGTTTGTAGTTGCACTTCATCTTTGACTTTTCCAATAATATTGTTAGCGTTTGATTTTCAAGTAAAAAATGTTAGACTTTAAGTGGTAATTAATACTACGTATATTTGTATACTAAATATTTATAGCAAGAAAAATATGAAAAATGTTCCTTGTTCAAAATACTATCATTAAGTATAAAATTTATAGATTTCACAATTATTGACTTCAGAAATTAAAGATGACTAACTGAAAAGGAATGAAGGTAATACTAATTTTTTAATAGGACTAAATAAGTCATGTTTTTGTAAAAAAAAAATACATTTACCCCTACTGTTGCCTATAGTTCATGAATCTTGATTGATTTATGTTTTGTGCAATATATTTAAATATTATGTGTAGGAAGTTAAAAAAATCTCGACCAAGTACTAGTAGCTTTGAGGATAAATTCGAGACAGATTTCACCATGCATGACGATGAAGATGATGTTGACTTCGAGACTGACGACGACGATGCACGACCAGACAGCGTTGACGATAAAGTGAGGAGAAAGGAGATGAGAAAGGGTATTGACTTGGCTACCACTCTTGAACGTATTGAGAAAAACTTTGTCATTACCGATCCGAGGCTGCCCGATAACCCCATCGTAAGTTGTTGCAATTTATTGGTATTGATATAGACACTGGCAATTGTTATTATTGTTCTTTTCTCTTACTAGCATTATGTTTGTTCTGTATTAAATTAAATTAAATTATAAGAAAAAGAAAAAGAAATCCATAAATAAGAACATATTATTATTCATTTCTAAAGAAAACAATATTTTTTATTTTTTAAAATACAAGTAATTCTCCCTTAAACAATTTTAACTCCTTTTTATTATTTTATTAGGTTTAGATAAGTACTATTTAAAATATTAAAATAGAGTCCTGTTTATATTCTACGTATATTTTATTCATTTTTTTCACTTACATGTATGAAAAAATAATTACATATACAGGACTAAAATAAAAGTAGTTTATGAAAAAAAGGATTAATGTTTATAGTAGTAATAGAATCATAGTAACTTATGCTCAATTTTTAAACTTAATTTACTCTGACACTATATTGTAGTGACTATTTGTTATATTTGTGTAAATAATTTAAGCTTTATTTTTGTAATATTTATAGAAAAAACATGTATGTATCCATTTTGTCAAATCAAAATAGTTAGTAATTCCTTTTAAAGAAATTAAGTTATTTATATGGAAAACTATAAAAATATAATATCATGCTATATTTATACATGTGTAATTCCCCATTTGTAAGGTTACTCTCTAAACTCTAACCTTATTAACTTATTCGTGCAATTTATGCCAAATATTGATCTTTGTGTACTTGCAAGTTACAATCAAATTTGTATTTGAACAGATATTTGCATCTGATAGCTTCTTAGAGCTTACAGAGTATAGTCGAGAAGAGATTCTTGGAAGAAATTGCAGGTGCATTCTTTCTCCAAATTATTAGTCCATGTCTTGTCACCCAAAAAATATTAGTCCGCCTTAATACACATTGATCCTTTTTTTACTAATTCTGTATAATTATAAAATTTATATATTTATAGATTAAGATAGGATTAAGTGATCATAAATTGTGTTTCAGTATAACGATGTGATCATAGTGACTAGACAGTAAAAACATCACAATAGTGTCATACTCCCTCTATCCCTTAAAACTTTGTCATCCTCCATTTTTGGGACGTTCCAAAAAACTTTATCACTTTCCATTTTAATCAATATTTTGTGGTTCCTGTTATTTCTCTCCCCTCTTCAAAAACCTCAACAACACAATTTGTATTTTATTATTCTCCATGCCGGTCAAACTTCGCAAAATTTTAAGGGACGGAGGTAGTATCATTGTTACGATAAATATCATTGAGGTTTGTTTGAATTTGCTTAAAGTGCTTCTGCTCTTTGAACGATCATAAACAAATATTTGAATGTTTGAATGAAAGTGCAGAAATATTTATACAACACCAAAATGCTTCTAAAACCCGCTTTTAGAAGTTGAGAAGTTGAGATCAATTTCTTTGGCAAAGGTCAGATATCTAGGTGTTTGGATGAAAGTGCACGATTCATAAATACTACTCCGATCCATAATAAGATCACTTTAGAATAGAAGTGCTGTCATTCTACTTCTTTTTAGAAAAGAAGTAGAAAAGAAGCTGTGCAGAAATGTTATACTTCTACTTTTTTTTAGAAAAGTTGTGTAATCAAATTCCAAATGACACCGTTTATGAGACCGATCGTAGTGGAAAAGACGGCAGTCCATGACCAGAAGTCCAGAACCCTGATAATACTTAGCATCTGTTTGTAACCATTTACAATGCATTCTAATGCAGGTTCCTTCAAGGACCCGAAACTAATCCCGCTACAGTACGGAAAATCAGAGAAGCAATTGATACTCAGACCGATGTCACCGTCCAGCTCATCAATTACACCAAGACTGGTATTCTGCTCTCCTCCTTATTTGCTTTTCCGGTGTTGAATTGCTCTTCTTACTTGAATGGTGCTGTAAATTGATTAGTTAACTGATTATAATACTTTCTTCTGAAATTCAGGGAAGAAGTTCTGGAACTTGTTCCATTTGCAGCCTATGCGTGATCAAAGGGTATTAAATACTTTTTCTCCTTACTCATATTAATAGTTTGAGGAGCCATTTTATCTGTTTTGCTTTTCTTTGTGTGCAGGGAGAAGTACAATACTTTATTGGAGTGCAATTAGATGGAAGCCAACATGTCGAACCGCTTTATAACTGTATTCCTCAGGACAAGGCTAATGAGAGTGCTCAGCTGGTTCTACTCTCAACTCTAACTTGATGTTTTTCTGCTTCTTTTGATGCTTTTTGTTTAGATATATGATAAACTACGTATGATATATATAAGACTATAAGTTGTGTCAATGTGTCATTATTGTATGTACAAGAAAACTAATGTCCATTTCAAAACCCTATATTTATGTTTATGAGCCAGAAATAGAGGAATGCAGTAATGAAACACCCTTTTTTAAATATTGCTTAAATGAAAGAAACTGATCATTTTACCTTTAATTCTATATATTTTTATTTATTTTAAAAGTAAAACTTTAGCCATTTCAGGCAAGCTCATCACTTTTTTTTTTAATTTTTAGGTAAAGAAAACAGCTGAAAATATTGATGAAGCTGTCAGAGAACTTCCGGATGCGAATATGGTAATTCCAGACTTTGGGACGAGAATTCCGAGTTACTTTGAGATTAATTATTGTACAAATGAGAAAACATGAAGCTTACAAAGTATGTGTTCTCTCCCAACCTGCAGAAACCAGAGGATTTGTGGATGAATCATTCAAAGGTGGTTCACCCAAAGCCTCATAGGAAGGATACCCCATCATGGAAAGCTATTCAGAAGGTATATTTATACTATGTATAAAATGTTACACTCACAGCTCACTCTTGCATATATAATATTAAAGCACTGCACAAAAAAGTAAAAAACTTCACTATCAGTATATTTATTTCGATTTGATTTTTTGTGATATATGCTACTGTGTGTGGTAATTGCAGATTCTGGCTAGTGGTGAAGAAATAGGCCTAAAGCATTTCAGACCAGTAAAACCATTGGGGTCTGGTGATACTGGCTATGTGCACTTAGTGGAACTATGTGAAACTGGTCAATATTTTGCTATGAAAGCTATGGATAAGAATACTATGCTCAACCGTAACAAGGTAAGATAAAATGTTATTGATCCTGATGTTCATAGTATTTGTCCATTGATGACAATATTTAAGAGCTCGTTGAGTGAGAGTTATCTAGCTTAAATGGCCTAATTTGCTGAATGTTCAGCCTAATAAGCAAGACAAAAGCTACCTACTCTGCTTATAACCAGAATAAGCAGAATCAGGCAACCAAATGGGCTCTAAGATTCTTTCATAATTTTTATTGTGAAACTATTTACTAAAATGTGATTATTTATTATGGTTGCTATTGACTGGTTGTTCTTGTTATTATTGTTTATATTTTTTTCGTAATCTCTTTGGGCTTCGCTCATTCCTTTCACTTGTTGCAGGTTCACAGGGCTTGTGCAGAAAGAGAGATCCTTGATATGTTAGATCACCCATTTCTTCCAGCACTATATGCTTCATTTCAGGTCAGCTGAATTAGACTCGGTGATTTTTAGTGTAATAATAATTTTTTACTTTGGGGTCCATTTGGAACTCAGTGAATGCTAGGCGAATAAACGGAGAGTGGATGATAATTCCTGAAGGAAAAACATGTTTTTATTTAACAAATCAATTGAAGCATTTGCTCAAACCCTTTTTATTTATATACTACGTAGTAATATTTTTTAGAGACAGGTATATTTGTGTGTAAAAAAATTTAAAAAGGTCTAATCACATTCGATTGTCCATATTTTTCTAGAAACTAAACATTAAAAAACACAATTTTAGTATTCCTATTATAGTAATACTTTTGACTTTTCAAACATAGCCTTAGTCACAATAATAAGTAGAATAAATATCCATGTTCAGCACCTTTTGAATATCTATCTCTATGAAAGGAATACCTCTTTCCTTGATGTTATCTTTGTTTTTTATCTTGCATCTATGTATATCAGATTAGTTAAGTTAATGATCCTGTTGCTTTGCAGACCAAAACTCATGTTTGTCTAATAAGTGACTACTGCCCTGGAGGCGAGCTATTCCTCCTCTTGGACAGTCAACCTACAAAAGTGTTGAAGGAAGATGCTGCAAGGTATAACAATATTTAATTTGAAACAGGGGTGTTTCTGTGCTCCCCCCCCCCTCGTTTTTAAGCATGCAAAACAGAGGGCCGAACTGAACAATTTAAAACGGTTTCAGTTTTTTTTGTTTGGTTTGTGTTGGTTTCAGCTGGTTTTGGCATGCCCTGTCAGTTTTGGTCGTTTTGAGTGATTTTTAAAACATATCCAAACCGTGAACTAAATTGCATATGGTGTGGGTGGTTTCAGTTCTGTTTGGTGGTTTGGTTTGGTCGGTCTGTTTTGGTTCATCATCATCATCATCATTACCCCAGTGCCGCAAAGGCTCCCACCTACGGTGGGGTAAGGGGGAGTCGGATGTACGCAGTCTTACCCATGTACTTAAGCACAAAGAGACTGTTTCCGGATGACCCGTAGTGAAAATCGCGTCAAAAGTTGCATGAACTGACTAGCTGACTGCTACTTCACAACAAAGAAGAGCAGACAGTTTTGGTTCGTTGGAATTTTTTTTCAATCCTGCCTTGAATAATACCTTATTACAGAGTTTCCATAGAAAAAGAGAAAAGTGTTTTGTTGCTTATAACTCAATTGCAAGTCTAAAATTACATTTCATTCTTTAGATTCTATGCGGCAGAAGTTGTAGTGGCACTGGAGTACCTTCACTGTCAAGGTATATAATGTGCAAGGATGCATGATCTATTAAAATATACAGAGTATTGCTTTATTTAGTCATTTTCCTGTGTTTAAGATATTTATGAAGTTATATATTTTTCTCCTTCAAACAGGAATAATTTATAGGGATTTGAAGCCTGAAAATGTTTTGATTCAGAGTAGTGGACACATATCATTAACTGATTTTGACTTGTCATGCTTGACATCTTGCAAGCCACAGGTAATCACACTACCGTGTCTTCTTCACAGTGATTGCAACATTTAAAGTATTTTGCTTAACTTAATTCATTTTTCCATTGTGTTTGAGCAGCTTCTAGTTCGTGAAGCCAATGAGAAGAAAAAGCATCAAAAAGCCCAACAGAATCCAATTTTCATGGCTGAACCAATGCGAGCTTCAAATTCTTTTGTTGGAACTGAAGAATATATAGCTCCGGTTAGTAGAACTTTCTTCCCTGTCATTTACTTGGGGTTTTACTTGCTCCGGTTAGTAGAACTTTTTTCCCTGTCATTTACTTGGGGTTTTACTTGCGTGTTCGTTATTACAGTTATAATCTAGTGTTGAACTTCAAATAAAAAGTGCTGAAAATATATCAAATACAATCTCTTAGATGGTTCATGCTAGTACCAATTTAGTTCCAAGAGTTATTTCAGTGCTTATGATTTATGATACACTCCCCTCCATGCCCTTGTATAAGGCACAATTTTGGGTTTCACAAAGAACAAGAAAATTATTAAAAGCATTTCAGTTTTCAAATAATTTTTACTTACCAATATGTTCTGAAATATATTTATGGGAATATGTTCTAAATGTAAATTGATAATGCAAAATTGATTTATAAATAGGACTGCCCTATAATAGTTTTATGAATAGGTTGGTAGGGAATACTGAAGCTGAAAATCCGATTTAGTCCCTTCCGTATGTACTATTGCAATTTATTCCTCATATATATGTTGTTCGAAATACGAAAGGCATCTTTGCATTTATTTCGAACTCAGGCCATCTCCAACAAGCACCATTTTGAACACCAAAATGGTGTATTTGGCAAAAAAAATGCTCCAACAATGGCACCAAACATTACACCATTACACCAAAATGGGGGAGGGAGGATGGCTTCACACCATATATGGCGTACACCATATATCACACCATCCAACTTTTTGGCTTTCTTTTCCTTTTAAATGTGACCTTCAAGTTTTAATTATTATAGTTTTGACCCATTTTTAAAACAACAAATTAGGATGTTTTACTTGGACTAAAATTGGTTTGTCCGCTCTCAGCTGGTCTGGTTTGATTTGATCTGGTCTGATCTGAAATGATGTGGTCTGGTCTGATTTCTTTGTATTTGTATAACTACTCAAGTGTGGTCTAATAGGGTCTTATCTGATCCCGAGACAAACTACAGTCCAAGTAAAAACATCCTTATAGAACAACAAATTAAAATTATTAATTTGATAGATAAAAATATAATAAAATTTAAATCACTCAATATTATAAATAAAGTTTCAAATCCAAACAACATTATAACAGAATACAAATGGGATTTAAGTAGTACTTTATTAATGATGTAGTACATTAACGGAATTTGTGGGAACAATTCTCAAATTCCGATAACTAAACTAAGAATGTTTATTTAATCTATTGCTTTAAGTTTAAGTAGTACTTTATTAATGACGTATTAATTATTATAATATTATTGTAATATTTAATTTTATGTGGTTTTAGCTTGTATTTGTGAAATATTGATTATTGTATTTTAATTAGTGAAATGCGTGAAAATACATATTCAAATTATGTATTTTAGTTTGTATGTGTGAAATAATGTGTGAAATATCAAAATATTAAATGAGGGGCTAATGTATAAATATATGATAGTTAGATACTTAAATAGAAGAATGGTAAAAAGTTAGTAAAAAGAATAAAAAGAGAATATTCCTTTTTGGTGATGAAAATGGTGTAAACTTTTGGAGATAAAATACTGTTTGATGTGATGTTTACATCATTTTGGTGTAAAAATGGTGTTAGCTGTTGGAGATGGCCTCAGTTTGGCTCTCAAGTGTTTAACTATGGCCCAATTTGGTCTAAAGTGCTGAGATGTGGACCAAATAATTGAGTTCAAAAGAGAAGCATTGAAAATATTGATTAGGAAAGACCAAATTAGATACGTAGTATTAACTCTAAATTATCCTTCCCACACAAAAATCTTTTCACTCTTTATTTCCAAAATTGCAGGAAATCATAACTGGAGCAGGGCATACTAGTGCAGTGGACTGGTGGGCTCTTGGTAAATCCTATGAATATTACTCTCATAAGTAAAATAAAGAATAGGGTCATAACTACTTCTCGACATAGCTCTTCCTTTTAATATGCATTAGTTTTGTTTTGTTTGTACTTTGTAGGCATTCTTCTGTATGAAATGTTCTATGGATATACACCCTTCAGGGGCAAGACAAGACAGAAGACATTCGCTAATATTTTGCACAAGGATCTGAAATTTCCAGGAAGCATACAGGTAAAAAGTGACATGCATAAAAAAATTACAGGCTTATTTTGTTTTCATTAGAGCAATGTTAACTTAATTTAGTTAATTTAAAAATGTGACTTGTTGCAAGTGCAGGTTAGTCTGCCAGCAAAGCAGCTAATGTACCGATTGCTGCACAGAGATCCTAAAAACAGGTTGGGATCACGTGAAGGGGCGAACGAGATCAAACAACATCCATTCTTTAAAGGTGTTAATTGGGCTTTAATCCGATGCATGGTAATGTTCATAATTCCTTTTCTTACCAACTTGATTCTGCACTTACACAAAAACCATTTTCGGGCAAATATGTCAAAAAATCTACTTAAAGCATATTTTGGATAACTGGACAAATTGTCGATTATATGTATAAATGATTATTTATACTCGACTAGTCGACTATAGTTTGCTGAAATGGTTGAAAAATAAATTCTTCGTTTGGGTGCAAAAAAAGAAAACACAAGGTAAAGATGGTCTATATCAGTTATGTGGTATGCCCCTTCACTGTACCATCGTCATAAGCAGGGACACTGTGTACCCTGGGCTTCCCTTTTAATATTAAGATAATCATGTATGCTTGAAGCATGAAAAAAACTTGGAAATGTGGCAACGGGCAAACACAGTTTAAAGTTTGTAATGTATATGCAGAGCCCTCCAAAACTAGATGCTCCTTGTTCCCAAACAAATGGAGATGGGAATGAAGAAAAAGCCGACTCTGGAATGGAGGACTTGCAAGCAAATATCTTCTAAAGGAGGCAGAGGCAAAGCCTATACAACTAACATTCAACAGTCAAGTGGTACTGCATATTAATCAAGTAATGTCTCTACTAAGAGATGATCAATGTTCTTGCCTGATTGCAGAAACGAAAGTGACATGTTTCTAGATCAGTGCAAGCTGTAGGGATGAAAAAGAAATGAAAGGGCAAATCTGGATTTCCTGCAGCTTTACATTTACTGTTTTGTCGTTTTTATTTTTTCTCTGCTCTTTGGTAATTGTAAAGCAATTTTTTTGGGTTTCCTTTTGTTTACCATTAACAGTTTAATATGTTTATACATTTTATGATGTTTACCATTTTTTAGTTGAAGTTCCCTATTTAAATTTAGATTAATTACCCCTGTTATTGGGCTAAGTATGGCCTCAATCAGGATTATTCACGTGACAAAAAGTTCAGTACACAACCTAGATCATGGGAATATGGAGGTGTTTGGAACTGATTCTGCTTCTGCTTCTTTTTTAAAGCAGAAGCAGAATCATTTTTCAGAAGCTGGTCCCCCTCAGCTTCTGAAAAAACTGATTCTGTGAGTAAATTAGACCACCAGAATCATTTCTGCACTTTCACTCAAACACTTTAACTTCTGCTTCTCCTTCCTGAAGGAGTAGAAGTAGTTTTAAGAATCAGATCCAAACACCCCCTATATATCAATATACTATGTAAAATTGTAAATTAAGAGTCGTCTATACATATGGATTTGTAATGGAGCCAAAGATTCATTATTTTTTGGTTTGAGAATATGATGGAATAAAGAAAAATGGTTCACTGAACTGTCTGCGCTTCTTTGTTATGAAGCAGCAGTCAATCCGTGCAATTTTGGACGCGATTTTCACTATGGGTCATTCGGAAACAGTCTTTATGCGCTTTAGTACAGGGGTAAGACTACGTACCCCTGACCCTCCTACCCCACTGTAGGTGGGAGCCTTTGTGGCACTGAGGTAAATGAAAATGAAAATGAAATGATTACTGAAATAGTACACACTAACTATAATATTACTCAATTTTGAATATTTCACAAAAGAGATTTGGAAGTTGTTCACACGGCTAAGCTTTGGAGTGCACACAAGTGTTTTGACTTTTGATAAACAATTTGATCACACGCCTGTTGTGTACAACGAAACATCATCGTCTTATTGCCCTTCCTATTGCCCTTCCTGCGTTTTTGTTGTGTCATTTCTATCTTTATAAACACGATGGTTCTGCATGTATTGCTTCTGAATTTATTAAGGGGGTGTTTGGGAATCAGTTGTTGGTGGTTGGTCGATTGTTTTAGTTGATTGATGACAGCGGATTATGTTGGTTGTTTTAATTAGCTGATAGTATTGACAGTTTATATTCAACTGATAACTTATTAAATGACCTTTTAGGACATCAATTAATAATATTATTGATGATATTAGTAAACTAGATAAATCCTTTTTTTGATTAAAACGTTAAATGTATTAAAACAAATAATTAATATAAATCTCTACTTTTTTAATTCATAATCAATTCTCCATACTTTTTTATGAGATGAAAACGACATTTTTATGAGATTGCTCAACGAAGCAGGCAACCCGAGTCGAAACCCCATTTCTTTAATTGATAATAATTCATTCCTCAGATTTTTTTTTTGTTATGAGATGATCGTTGGTTGAGTAACACGAGTCAAAATTCCTCTCCAAACAAATATCCAAAGCACGAAAAAAAATTTAGGTGAATCTGATAGCTAATAATAAGAGAAGGCCGCAGCTCCTTACATTGGTTTTTTGCTCTTTGGTAGAAGATCTTGGTGGGCAGAATTTTATTTTTGCTCTTCGGTGGAAATGTTTTCTGCAAGTAGAGGGAGATACGGAACGGCTAATTCTAAACGCCGGGGTAAATGGCGTTTCATTTTATGGTTGGTTGGAACAAAAGACTAATTGAAAAAGCCATTTAACCAAACACTTTTATTAGCTGATTGATCTGGTCAAAAGACTAAGTATGGGTCAAAGGGTATTGCTTCATGCACCCCAAAATTACTTAATCTAACCTTACTTGGACAAAATTACCCATTAAAATATACGAGTACTTCGTATTCACTAATTTTTACGTAATATTTGCTCAGCCTTTTCTTTGACTAAAGCATTCTCCGCCAAGTGTTTTACTTTAAGCATAATTGATACTCTGTATTTAGACACTCCGTATTATTTTTTGTGTTTATTTTACTTTTTCGTTTTCTATGTTTTTTGCTATTTCAATCATTTAAAAAAAATGAGCTAAATAAATTTTGCAAATGTATATTAATAACTATAGAAATTATCCTTAATAGGAGTAAAAACGTTTTGAAATTCTAAAATGAACTTTCATGTTTTTATTCCCTAAATATGAGTAATTCTGTCAAGTTTGAAAAAAAATATCATGTTTAAAACTCAGTAATGCCAAACATGACAGAAATTTACTCCTATTCAAGGAATAAAAACATGATAGTCATATATTGGAATTTCAAAATAATTAATATATTTTGAAAATGATAAAAATTTAAAATTAGTCTATGGTATCACACAAATAAATTGAATCAGTTGAGTCTGCTGAAATTAGTAAAGTTTTGATTGAAACGGCTGAATGAATCTGCTTAACTATGAAAAAACTAGATTTTTCCACTTCTTTTTAGATGCAATACTCTAATCTTCATGTTTGTCAACACGTAACTTTGTCTGTTGATATAGTTTATTCATCAATTAGTAAAAATTTAAAAATGGATATTTTGAAAGTTCCTAATGAGGCGAGTTTGGGAATGTTTTTACTAAATTAAAATCTCATTTGTGTACACAATAAATTTTAACATTTATTAATAAAATAAAGAAAAATCTATATGAAAATAGCTAAAAAAATAATTTCACAAATTCAGTTAATACAGTTAAATTCAATCTTGCTCAATTTAATTTTACATAATTCACGTGAAATCCAAAGTTACGAGTTTGGTAAAAAAGATGGTTGAAAATGCTGGTATTATAGATACCAAACTTCTCTTTAAAAAAATGATTTGTGGTTCATATTACTTTGGTAACATTAGGATCTGCTAAAAATAGTGAAGCTCGGGTTGAAGCAGTTGAATTGTCCGAATTTGCTGAGTAAAAAAAACATATTTAAAATATATTGATATAATCTATTTATAGATAAAGAAAAAATTATATGAAAAATATTTTGCATGTCATTTTCAACAATTCTAACCAATTCAGTTAAGAAATAATTGTAACCTTGTTTGTCTTGATTATTACGAAGTACGGAGTATATATTTAGTGCTTGAAATTAGTACAAATTAATTGTGGGATTGACACAGATTTGACACAGATTTTCTGATAATTTTGTGCTAGATAGCTCGTGTCAAACTGTTTTTGGCACAGATTTGACATCTCTGTCAATTTAATTAGGAATATCTGTAAAAAATCTATGTCAATCACATGTTTTTTTGAAGTGTTATAAGTGAGATGTTTGATAAAATAGTTGTTAATTAGACTCATCAATCGAAAGAGGAGTTAGCAAATTGGTTCTTGATGTATGAATATTTTTAGTCATAAATACTGAATATACTTAAAAAAAGTCATTATTATATTTCTCCAAAAAAATATGTAGACTTACCGATGCTTTTCAAATAAAGAGGTACTTTTAGAATTTTCCAACTTCTTGTTCACAATTTAAGATAATAATAAAAAGGATTTTCATCAATTAAAAAGTCCATAAAGATATTGAGTGCTACACACAGCAAAAGAAGAATAAGGATGAGTTTTGTTATACTTATGTGGTAGCCTAACAAAAAAAAACAAAAAAAGAGAAATAACACAAATCATTTATACGGAGTATGCCCAAAATTGTCCGTACAGTGTAAAAAAGAGGTGCGCTGAGTAAGAACGGGGGTGCGCAGGGATGCTCCGATGGTCAAATCAGCCAAAAATTGGCTGATAGACTCCTAACCAAACACCCCCTAATTTGTCCATTTTTAGCAAGACCTGCCTTTAAAGAAATTTTTAAAATTTAAAATTCCAAAACTGGTAAATATATGATTCATACAATTTATACAGAGTAATTGATTCAACTATGAAACAAATTTTAAACATTTACTTAAAATTGATCGCAAATAATAATATACTCTCAACCAGATTCACCCCGATGTGTCATGCATAGTCCATCTATCTTTTCTCGTGCAATAGGAAAAAACTAAGGAACAACCTCGAATCAAAATATCCATGGTCGCGTGTTGTGTGAAATTTCTATTTCCCTACTCAAGACAGCTGCTTGCTACCAGCTGCTAGCCTGCTGATTAGTGCGAGCTAGTAGCTTGCTGTTTGTTACGATTAGAAGTTTGTTGTTTGTTACATAGTTAGTTGTCGCAAAGTTAGTTACAAATTTGTTATAATTGAATAAGCTGTTAATTGTAGTTTAACGGGCTAGAACTTCTATAAATAAAGAAGATGGCCAGTGAATAAGATTCATTTTGAAATCGATACAATTTCACATTTTCTTGATTTCTACTGCAATGGAGTTAAACTCTTGTTCGTGGTTCCTTCACCAATAACAATTGAGTTTAGCTCCTGTTTCTTAGGTATCAGAGCGCGAGATCTTGGTATCTTTCTTCTTTCGTTGAAGATCTTCTGCGCAACACTCGGGTGCCTCATTGACGCACCAAATCCGCCATTGAAGCCATGGAAGAGCAATTGCAAGATCTAACCCAGCCACAATTGCAATTTCAACAAGAAATTCAACAACAATTCCAACAACTACTGAGGGTTGTTTAGGATTTATAGAAGAAGGTTGATAAACAGTCCTCATCAAACACTCCAAATATCAACCATCACGCTAACAAATAAGGGTGAAATCATACTAAATCCTTGAGGTATGTTCCTAAATTAGAATTCCCTCATTTTTGATGGTATTAACGGTAGCATGTTGATTAAAAAGTGTAAGAGGTATTTAGCTTTATGTTGAACCGCTGATGAATAAAAAGTTGATATTGCTGCATTAAAAATGTCTCGAAAGGCTGAAATCTGGGTAACGAACTATTTGGTTGATGAAAATGATATAAGCTGGCAAGAGTGTGAGGAGGACTTGACAGCAAGATTTAGACATGAGACTGAGAAAGATGTGGTTGAAAGGTTTAATAGATGTCAACACAAGACTTTTATTGATGCTTGTACAGATGAATTCGAAGTGGCCAATTAGCCACTACCTCAAACTTTTTATGGTCAATTAGTACTTCGAATGCTACCTCCGCCAGGATATGAACAAAGGTAGGGGCATGGCACGGTGTAACCCCCGGGGAGGGGCACAATTTGGTTATGTCGGCTAAACTAATGATAAGTCCGTATTTAGACACGCATTTGATGCGTGTTGGGATCGGCTTTTGATGGTTTTCCTATCTTTAAGGTGTT